GGGTTTAGAGCTAAGGTTAGGGTTTGGGGTTAGATTAGGGTTTAGGGATAAGGTTAGGGTTAGAGGTTAGATTAGGGTTAGGGTTAGATTAGGGTTAGGGTTATGGTTAGGGTTATGGTTAGGGTTAGATTAGGGTTAAGGTTAGGATTTAGGGTTAGATTAAGGTTTAGGGTTAGGTTAGGGTTAGGGTTAGATTAGGGTTTAAGGTTAGGTTAAGGTTTGAGTTAGATTAGGGTTTGGGGTTAGGTTATGATGAGGGTGCTAACATGCGATTGGTTTACATCGGATTTTAGAGAAGAGGTGTCTATTGACAGGCTACAACCCTAACCACTAACTCTATGGACGAGTTTCTATACAATATGCATTATAAATTCAGAGCCTCTGAGCCTTTATCAAACCTTAACAAGTTTTTAAATCATGTAAAAGAAGAATATCCACTGTAATTCATTACTTACTTACAATATATTCTCACTTTATACTAACTGTCTTCTGATTGGCTAATAATTGTCAAGGTCATTTAAAATTCGTTCAAAGGTCGTCGCTAAATTAGATTCTGGCCATACTAAGTCAAGTCACCCTATACATCTTTTTAATCTCCTCTAATTCGACATATTAACATCTCATCCTTTTTTATCTCTCCACCCCTCAACAGTGCTGCTATGGGGTCTCCAGATGTTGAGGGTGACAATCCCGCTATTCTGAGACCATCTATATATTCTGACTTAATGAGGAGTGGCACATCTTTCTCAACGTCGATAACTGTCACTAGTCTTAAAAGTTCCTTGACTGAACCTTCTGATCACTGCCCGAAACACACTACCTAACTATTCACTTTTAAACATACTTCTTTCACCAAACTAACCTCCAACTACCTTTCTCGCATTAACTCTATTGGTAATAAATTAAACGCTCATCAGTATGGCGTCAGCACTCTCAATTCCTCTTTTTCTCATGGCAAAACAGACAATCCACTGGGTTTACATCATACCCTTCCACTAGACAAACAATCACCGTACCTGACACTTATTTTAACCAACGCGAGATCTGTACAAAGTAAGATGACTGACCTACTCACCCTATAACTTTTAAACAACACTTAACTTGTTTTGATAATGGAAAGTTTGCAGTCCTCCGATACCACAGACACATATCTGAAAATAGACACCTATGAGCTCTTCCGCTGTGATCGAGTTACCAAAAAGGGTGGTGGTTGTCTCGTTTATGTATCCAAAAGTTTGAGAGCGGAAACCTATAGCGACCACGTCCTCAGCAAACTTCCTGAATCGATATGGCTTACTGTTCACACTCATGAATGTAAAATACTAATTGGATACATATATCGAGCTCTTAACACTCCTAGTTCAACTGACACTATTATAAGTGAGTCATTTGCTCAGGCTGCCTCGCTTGACTTCAGTTACGGAATTGTGTGTGGTGATTTCAGCCTTCCCACCATGAACTGGACGACAAATTCTGGCCCATTGTGCTTTGAAAGCGTACTTAGGTCTTTAGACATACACGGTTGGCAACAACATGTATACCTGCCGACACGAAATCACAGCATGCTTGACTTGATATTCTGTCATAATGTCACACCAACATCAACGGTGGTTGGCGAAAAGTTTCACAACAAATAGTCCTCTGCAGCCTTCCGATTCCTGCCATGTGTAACAAATTAAAGACATTAAATACGCGTTTCCAGTATAGAGACTATGCAAACACTGACTGGGAAAACTTTCGTTTTCTGATAAAGCCTCTAAGAAACATTAGAAATATTCAATACCTCCAGTAAATTTGAACTAGGCACTACTATATCCTCTAAAACTGCTTTTAAAACAATTCCTCCCTATATAAACCGAAAGACTAGGTCTAAACTGCGAAAACTGAAAAGGACGTACTATATATCAAAAGACTTTAGTGCCCTGCACCAGATATACTCTACTTGACGGAGTACAAAATAAATACAACAAACATAAACAGGCAGAGGAACGTACTGCGCTCACTGCTGCATCTAAAACCCAAGCCTTATGTCGTCTCCTTGCAAAACGCATGAGAAAGAACGCAGATCAGAACATTCACTCCTCACTGCACGATGGAGTGACGTAAAACGACCAAACCTTCATATGTGAACTGTTAAGTGAATGGTTTTCCCACAATGGGAATACATCTCATGCCACAGATATAAACATGAAATGCATCAGCAAAAATTATCTTAGTACCATAAACTTCGACATTAGGAGTATACATACCGCCATTAAAACCCTTAAGTCAATTGTGAGTCCTGGTGCCGATGACATCCCTTCAATCCTTTGTAAAGCGTCAGGACCGGACACACAGACGCTATTACTCAAAATATACACATTATCTTTAGAGACAGGTACATATCCGGAAACCTGATCGAAAACTACAGAACCACAAATATCACTCCAGTTATACCACGCATAATGGAAAAAGTGATACAAAATCAACTATCTGATCACCTACTTAAGGAAGGTCTAATAGACCCGTCACAACACGACTTTATTAGAACAAGGTCGTGCAGTACATGTGTAGTGACTCATGTTTATCACGAGAACACGACTGGTTTAATAAAAACAATTATTATTATAACCAACTGTACCAGTGTTTGTTTTAACGTGCTTTTGTTTGACTGTGCTAATGACAGCTATTTTGGGCTTCCATTCACTTACTTACACTTTGATTGTAACTTCGCGCGAATTCGGTTACCTTCTGTAACCAAGCTTGTATCCTGGCACGATCTCGGTATCCTTTCGATGCCACGAGATCGCCAGCAAATAAACCTCGACTTGGTCCATTAATTGCCTTCTGATATTCGGCTTCTCGGGGATTTTATGGAGTCATTTGGAACGAGCTTCTTACGCCTTCTGATTCGGTTGGCACGTGTTTCTTTGTAGCGGTGTTCATAGTTAACTTCAACTCCGACGCCACGCTACACATGTCTGATAGACTTCTTTAACGAGTTTACTCGCGTACGTAACTAGAAGAAACCAGTAGTTATACTCTATTTCGATATTATGAAAACCTTTGATAAAGTACCTCATAATCTTCTAATCAACAGACTTAAGTCAGTTGGAATTATAAATCGCCTTTTGCAAAGGACCAAGCCTTTTCTTACAAACACATACCAAATAACTAAGATTAACTCTACAACATCTACACCTCAACCCAAAACCAGTGGTGTTGTGCAGGGTAGTGTCTTTGGTCCATTGCTCTTCACAATCTAAATCAACAATCCAACATGAACTCAGCATGGTAGAAGACTGGTACAAACGCTGGAGGTTAGAGCTCAACACAGAGAAATGCGGCTGGTTATGTATAGGAGACACTTCTCTTAAAATAAAACTAACTCTTAACAGCCACACACTGCCCAGACTGGCATCAGTAACTGACCTAGGGGTACATCACTCACACAGTCTTAATTTCCCTGAACACATCTCAGCCAATGCATCTAAAATGCGGAAATTGCTTGGCTTCATTCTCCGCAGTTTCTATCAAAATGAATCTAAAATCTTTCTTTATAAAGTTTGTGTAAGACCTATCGTTGAATACTGCTCAATCTTATTTTCCAACCCACGCCTTTCTGATATACTAAAGATGGAAGGAATACAATGAGACTTCATTCGCAAAATACTTAGGACTGACTCAGTCACTGACTACAGTTCGCGATGCCAAATCTTAGGATAAGGACCACTTTGGAAGAGAAGGCTTAGGTCTAATTTGATTCTCTACTTCAAACCGCTCGAAAACTTTACTTATTTAACATGTAAGATGGTTCTTGCCCGAAATTCACATCAACACGAACTTCGAAATAAAGTATCTACGGTCAAGGTTGAGAAATACAGATCGGCAACTCGGAAAAACGTTTTCCTCATCAAGTATGCAATAATATGGAACAGTCTTCCCTCCTAAATACGCATGGCAGATGAATTACATACGTTTGTAAAACTGCTTGATCAAGCCCTCACTTGCATTGATCTAGCACGTGCGAACACATCTGCGCCTCACTCAGACATCATAGGCTCTCTCCATGTCCAGACTTTCAAATAATAACCGTGCATCCACGTCGCACTGCAGCAAAGTCATCCGTTCCAATCTTTGCAGAAGAGATCAAGATTTGAATACCATGCCCATTATGTCATAGGGAATAATGTCACAGGATGACCTAAATTCACTGTTTCAATGAATGTGTAGGTTGTCAATAGAACTTAATTCTAACAAGAGTGTAGTGATGCAAATAAATAATTGAGACGATTCATATCACTACAGAACAAATGTAATTGTGTTATTTTTATCTAGGATTTTATATAAAAAACGACAATAGAACTGCGAGTAAATCAGTGGCTGCCACTGTCAAAGTCTCTGAGGTCATATGGGCTGTTCGTTAGTCATTTCACTGCTTGAGCTAAAACAATTTGAGGCATTACATTCAATGTTTGTGAGGCTACACGTGGAACATGGGGTTCAAGAAGCGAGTCATGGTTTAAAATGTGAAGCCGATATGCTGGGACGAGTTCAATGTGTAGGACCAAGATGGTGAAACGTCTCACAGACTTACCCCATGAAAGAATAAAAAGCTTCAATTTACTACTGTTATCTTATTTCTAGGTTACTGATTGATTTTATACTGGCTTATCATACAGTGAACGATGATCTCATTATGAAAATGTCTTTTCCTACTAAGACTGATATTTAAGATGACATTCTAAGAACAAAAGGCATCTGCTCAGTTGGCGGATGAATTCAAGGTAAATCTAAAGCTTTATTGAAAAAAAAGATAATTATTAAAACGGATTAACCAATCTATTATTCTTATTACTGATGGCTTACAGGAAAGCCTATTCTGATATGAATCCAACCGACTTTCTTCCCATACAAGCAACAGTTAAGAAGCCGAAGGGATGATTCTACTCTTCATGGCAAAAAAATGCTTTGCGATGCCTGACTTTGTTTTTACTTATTCACTGAGATTTGTTTGATTTGTCTCAAGGTTGTAAATCAGCTGTTCATTAGAAATGGCGTTTACTTTGGATGATGACAAAAGATGTCAGCTTAATGAGGATATCATTAAACAGCTATACCTTGTGGCTTATATGCAGGGAAGCAAGCTTCCAACATGCCTTGTTACTAACTCAAAATGTAGCAAGGTTCAGGTTCGCGGAGATGGACGTACTGCTGTTGGTGAGTTTTTATATTTATGGTAGTGTCCGTCTTCTGTTTATTCATACTTAGGTTTCCAATTTAGTTATCTATCACTTTTTATTCCGTAGATCATGATACTGAAGTTCTGTTCTATAAACGTTACACAGAAAATTTCATCTTACCTCTTTGTAATATATTGCGAACTTAGTGACTAAATGTACTCTTTTTTGAACAGTCGTTTCACTGTTTACCCTATGAAAAGCCTGAAAATTCATGGTAGTTCACGAAAATGTGTAGAACTATCCACAAAATGGAACCCACCAATCCGTCTGAAGCAACTCATCTAGGTATTAGTCTTCAGTCTCCAAGTTCATAGGAAGATCTCACTCAGTAGTTTACATCCCAACTTCGGGATCGTGTGATCATGATCGATGCATGTTCTCATTCTGATGGGGAATTTGGGGGTGGGAATGTGATATGTTAATATATATGTTGTTACTATGTCACTGCCCTAGGTCTGTACTACTCGAACTTTAAGTTGCATTATCAACTAAGCATTTACTTGGGAGAAAGACCGTCAAAATTCCACAAGATTTCATAAGCTCTTTTGTTAACTTCAGTACAGCAAGTATAGTCAATTTTTTTCTTTTCGTAGTTTACTATCGGTTGCTTACAGCTTTGAATAATTAAGTACCAGAAAAAATCTTTAGTCCGGTTATTAGAAAAGGGCTTATTGCTAAAATCAACAGTTAAGGGTCAATAAAAAAAACTAGAAAGCAAGAAAACGGCAAATATCGTCGATAATACTGAATTATTTGCTGGGTAATTTGGTGGATGTTCTTAAACGTCCATGTGTTGTTGATGAACTCCTTGTGAACCTGAAGTCAACTATTTTCATCTGGGGTCAAAGTGGTCGGCAGATACACTGGATGGACCGCGGTAATAGATAGAGCTCGCCTAGTAATAAACGAACGAAAATAAGTCAAAAATCATGACAAAAAGTAATAATACGTAATTGAATTTCAGATATATTGTAACATTATTACTAAGGACGAGGTACCAACTAAATGGGAGACTAAAAGCATTACCCTTGTAAAATAATGATTTAAGTTTAAACTCTACGACAGAATAATTTAGATTAGGCTCAGTAAGTTAGAGCTTGCTTACTTGCAAGTTGTTTTGAAATTCCACGAAATAAAATCATTATTTCTTCACACAAAATTTGAACTTGTTAACGTTCCCATCAGTTCCTATACTGTTAACGTCAATGAAGCAATTATTGACAATAATTCAGTGGAAACACGAAAGCATAAGTATTTGATAGAGTTATTAATGTCGCCGCATCTTTTTAAAGAATGATAAACTAACTTCAGTGAAACTCTAATCTGTTACTCAATATATTTTTTGCCACTCGGTTAAAAGTTACAATTCCGCTCAATCTATAAAGATTTTGACTGTTAGGTCATACTGTTAATTTATAGAAGTGATCTGTAGCACAGTACACAAACTTCTGTTTGATATCTCGTTGCTGTACCACTATGATGAATAAATAGATATAAAATACCAGGTTGACGTAAAGAGAAATAGAGTATGTCATAATGTAACCCATGTGCCAAGTATAGATTTATATGCTCAGGTTTATGCCATACCGTTTGTATTAGTTAACGATATTAACCAGTTGTCCGAACAGAATAAAATGGGGCTGAGTTTGACTTTAGGTTCGATTAGTTTAAAACCTAGCACTCTAGCTGCTAAGCTACCACTTCAGAAATGAAGTAAACAGATCAAAAGAAATAACTTCAATTATATCCCATTTGTTTGTTTGTGTGTATTACTGTTATTGATTTAAATGATCATACTTAAATTCTACTTCTTATCTCGAAGGTTCATGTTTACAGTTTAATGTCCGACCCACATTTATAATCAGTAGTTTCAAGAACTACTGCCATACCGTTACTTTTACATATGATAACGACTAATGTCCCGGAAGAATTTTGCCTGGGACAATTGACTGATAGTAATTAAACTTTATTTGTCTATCTCTAACTTCATTCAGGCCATGGTTTTTTTATGGTAAGATATGACCAAAGTAGGTTTGAAATGTTCCTCACACTGTTCGTTCTGCCATCTGATAAGTGTCACTAATCCATCTTTCTCAGATATTTTGTCTATTCATTGAATATTCCAATAGAAACAAGCAAGAATAATTAAAGAATTTCTTGTAAATCATGGTCTACATAGAATGCTCAACGAGTCCTTAAATTTTGTCATGGGACATCGGACTGAATTTTAAGGTGATAACCATACTTGGATTTGTTTGAGATTAGTTAAGTTCTTAATTTTACGATCCTACTGTTTTGGTAGTATGTAGGTCTGTAATGCGTTCCAACTACTCAATCTGGGTGTCTGACATTTCGTGGTCCATGCAAACATTGATCAGTGATATTACGTGACGAAATAATGCAAAATACAACCACTTTCGAAACACAGGTTTTTATCGCTTGGTTCCATTACCGTACATCCTATCATTTTAAGAAAGATTTACAACAATTTAAAATACTTTGTTCATAGGATTGTTAATTTCTGGCTATTTTTCTAAATTTGAGATACTGTGCAATTAAAACCGTCGACTCATAAATAACACATTTCCGTCATATCTTTTCACAACTAATTGAACAATCTTACCGCCTGACTCCATCACTGTAATTATTCACACTATGAGTGTATAGCTGCTCCTGATCGTATTATCCTTCAACATGACTTCATGATATGGCAGCAGGATCTCAGATAATAGGAATTTTAACCGCTCAACTTTGTTTTGGTCATTGTGATAGGTAAGTCCGTCCAAAACCTGCCAGAAACTATCGACATCTGTCACTGGCATAGATTTTCAGGAACCATCAACTATTTCAGACTGGAAATTAATACCATTTCGATAAGTTACTTAGCTAGTTTCCTTTTTCCTTATAGTTTACTCGGCTTTTATAGATATTTGATCCTATCGTTGCCTTTGCCAGTTTTTTGTGAGTAGATAGCCTTAGAATGTGTAAGTAATTTCTAGTAACTTATCTTGAGGGTTCCATAGTCTTACTTATTGATGTATACTCCCTGTTCCTAAAATTTGACAGCGATTATTGAGATAAGTAATCTGACAGTCTATTGCATTCAAGTTGTAAGTGCTAGGCTCTATGTTGATTATAACTGACACTCATTGTATAGACAAAATTGCTTATTTTACAGCTATAAGCTCATTATGTGACTTACTTGGGTCTAACATCAAATTTGTTCTAATGGTTTCCCAAAGTGTGCTCAAAATGTATGAATTGTTGAATATCGTTACCTTTCTTATAATAGTCATTTGTCAAAATTTTACATTAGTACAGAGTACATTGATTGACGATACGTTTGTCCATTAATGTTTATGTGAATTTCCTTTTTACCGAATTTTTAAAATCTAATAAACTCTTGTTGATATTTCACCATCTACATAGAGATGTGGTCTAAGTTCATAAGTTTATTTATCCTTTGTATGAGCCTTTTAGAGACACATGTTTACTGTTTGCATTCCACGAAACGAAGGTAATAATGAGTTGGAAATCGTAAGAAATGTTCCAAAATAAATTACACTGACGTAAGATCATTTTAGTAGCCGTAAATGCTTTATAACTTCATGCGTTTTATTCTCGGTTTCACTTTTCATTTATTTCCATATCTTTCTGGCAATCTATCATTGCTGCCACTGTTATTTTTTTAATTGATACTAATTATGGTAACTACGTTCCACTGATATCGAATGATTTTTAAATTGTTAGTGAATTTTATTTAATATTTCGAGGTATACACATCTAGAAAGCGAACTAAGCGGACGTTTTCTAGTCGTTGCTTTTATCCGTTGGCAACCTTTTGAAGTGATACCTCTTTTTTAATAGTCATTAAGCCCGTTGTGCGAGATTAGCCATAACTCCTAATATGTCTGCTCTAACGCCTGGTAATGTCGGTTTAACCGTATATTGTTTTGTTGTGAAACTCTAGGAAATTGAAAACATGTTTATCGTTTGTCACGTATACATAACGAAGTAAGAATAAGCCTAAAAGAAATATTTGTTTTATAATGTATAAATATCATAATGTGAATAAACATATTTAAAAATATCGGAACTCAATAGGTTTTAAGTAGACTGATTAGAATCCCAGGGAAAGCACCAGTTCCTTCAAGGTTACAGATACACCTGGGTGGGATGTTTCAGCTACCACGATATTTCATTTCAGAGCTTCCTGTCTATTATCTTCATCTCTCCGTGCTAATGAGGTATAGCAAATTAAACCGATGTACATACATACAGGTTCTGCTTTGTAATTGACTAACTGACCGATTTATCAATGTACATAAGTTTTTTCTTCAAGGTGCATATGTAATTATTTTGGTTACCTTGTGATCTGTAATCTTACGCTATCGGCACTGTTTTAAGAAAAATATCCTTAACGATGATACCGATGTATGATTATTCAGTAAACCTATATATTTTGTAATAAAATCAACGCTTGCTGATATAATTAGAAACTTTATATAACCATATCAGTCACATATATAATTTCTAGTCTTATATATACTCATTTTGTTTTTTTAATTTTTATCATATATAGACATGAGATCACATGTACATCAAACTGTTTTACCTGTGGTTATAAAAGCTGATCACCCAATTCCAGTTTCATGTAGCGTTTATTATTTCGAGATAACCGTTAATGTTAAAAGTCGTTCTGGGTGAGTACATTTAATATCCATCACCTTCATATATATTTCTTAAATAATTATGCTTAATAGTAACAAATTTCTAGTCATATCCAGTCTAATTTGTTTTTTCTACACACCTGTGGCACAAGTGTTAACATTCTCACAGTTAATCAGACCAACTACTGATACGTTTTAAGTTACATCGTTAACTTTGTGTATACAGCGCAGTGGCGTTTTCCTTTTGGAAATAAGATGTTAGAGAAAATGTTCATTATATGTCTTATTTTCATCGGTGTTCAACTAGGCGATCGGTCGAACGAGTAGTATAATTTTGCTAATTCTCATAATATTTTTGTTCGTCTCTTGCATGACTGAATATATCGTTTACATTATGATAGATTCGATCTCATTACTATGAAAGGAGCACTTCCTATTTTTATCGAGGTTTAACTGGTAGTCTATACTAGATTTTATGCTTATAATTTTACTACCTCTACAATTACGGGATTTGAATCGATAATCGCATCTCTGTACTAATGTGGTATGGCAACTCAAACTGCTGTACGTACGTACGAAGTTCTACGTTGTTGATGACTGACTGGGGTTTTATGCTGTCAGTTATAATGGTTTAATAATAGTGTAACTCACTAATTGTAGATCTATGTACTCGGCTTTAAGCCACACGCTTTTGTGTGAGAGTTAGTGATACTGGTTAGCAACCCGAACTGACGAAAACAGAGTGGTGTTTTCATTTATTCTGATTAGAAGGCTCTGTCTTTATGAGGTAATATTTCACAGCGATGAATTAAAACAAAGCGAATTGATGCTCACTATAGTCGCATCAAAGTTGGCAGACAGACACCTCGCCTATGCCACAAATGACTAAGGTTCGCAAAACTTAGCCGACCTTTTCCAGTCAGTCAATCATCAACGTAGACCCTAGCACAATCGTGCACTGGTTCAAGTTACCATGACACATTAGCACGAAAAGCTAAAAATAATAAGATGAATAACAAAATAGATCAAAATAACTCAGTAGCAATAATAGTTAGAAAGACTAAACATTCGGAATATTATAGGCAGAGATAGATGGTGTTGGGATATTCAGAAAAATATACCAATAATTATCCTGTTAAGTCTAATGGTGTCATTGGACTTTAAATGGACATTTCCTATTGGCCAATGTTTATTTCACTTGTCAAATATTGTACAAATGTTGTTTTCTATTTTATGGTACGATGCGGTCTGCTTGATTGGTATATAAACAGAGTATGTTTGAAATATAAGGATTCATATCTCAGAGGCTGAAATTTGTGTTCTGGACTCAACTGGCTGGGCTAGACAGGGAAGCAGGGCCAATCGGGACTCTAGGTCGTTCTTACGTGTTTTACGTATCATTAATCCGATCGATAATTCGCTGCGCATCTAATCTGCAGTCCACAGTTACAACAGATGGTGGCTATCAGTGGGATATAAGCCGCGCGTTTTGTCTTATTTGGGACTCGTCAACTAACTGTAGCTGCATCCCAGAGTTGATGTTAACTCCGAGGCTCGGACCCAGTACCTGTCCCGGAGTGAACGTCAGCTCTGGGATGCAGGTACAATCAGTTGAGGAGCCCCAAATAGGACGAAACTATCGTTGTGGATTCCACTACCAGCCACCATCCATCTCTGCTTATAATGCTTGTGACTCAAAGAAATCCTCATAGAATGCATATATGTCAATGAGAGACTAATTGATCGCAGTCCTAAACATCAGTGGAAAGATTCAAACAACCAATACAAAAATGAATTCGGAATATTGTTCAAAAAGACCTAGTGGAATCGTATGTATAAACGGATACTAGAGTCCACTCTATCGGAAGATGAAGAGCGAATGTGTCCTAGACCACTATAAAAGATTCTGGGCATGTTATCGAAGTCTCCAATCTAAGGCGCCTTCCGGGTGTTCTGGTCCACGATGTGGGTGTGTGTTCGAATCCCACCTCCGGCACATACTTTGGGCGTCGGTGGTTCAATAGCACAATGCTCGCTTGCCACGCGGGCTGGCCGGGTCCGACTCCCAGCCGACACACACCGCTTTGTCCCCAAATACCCTGGTACGGCCGAGGGTGGGAGGAGTCAGTCAGCCCTCCCTCTCGAAATGCTCTCACGTGGCCACGTGTATGCAGCCACTACCATGGAAGTCCTACTCACTGCCTTCTCTTGGCAGGGATGTTGTTTACGAAATTGAGAGAACGAAAAGCGAATGTCCGGCGCCTTAACCGGGTCGGTGGACACGGAGAGTCCACCTAGAAGAGTTGGAAAACCCTGATTCCAAACCAATGGTGCACATGGGCTCCAGAATCGTGAAGCAACAAATGGTGTATGAACCAATCGTTGGTCACTGGCTGCCATGGGACTGCATCTTCCGACGTTGCTCCACTGCTTTGTAGATCAGACCTTTAGGTCGAAGGCTCTAGATGTGGCCCCTAAGAAAACCACTTGCTTCGATCTAGGAATCCGGGCAGTATCATGCCCACACACAAACCAAGTGACTTATGTGGCGCATATGTATTCGGTACCCCTTTGTACCAATATTCATATGTTCTTATAAGTAAATAAAATAAATACAAATCTCAACCAGGTAGTTTGCATCTGGCAACCTAACTCGATCAATAACTTCATCATAAACTGGTGACATTCTTGATTCATCTGATCCTCGATTTCTTCCACCCTACTGGAATTTCCTTAGTTTTCTTATAGTGATATATTATTTTTCAGATCTATTCACGTAGAACATAGTTCAATGTCGGTTTTAGTGGTACAGTTACATTCACACTTTATCTCTTGTTACTTTCCTCTCTTGCTGTGCTTGGTATAAAATATAACAACTTGGATTGATGCAAATTCGTACCAGGTCCTACATTGTCTATGATTTTCTGGTTGATTCAGATCTTAGTATTTATAAGATTTTTTCATCTCCGCCAGTATTTTTCTTTTTTTATTCATGCAAAGATATTTACATAATATTTATTTCTTGGAGTTTCTATTGATGATATTCCCTTGAAAAACAATACGATTTAAACAATAAATCTGCAATACATATGTCAGTCAGTCGGCAACAACGTAGAACTTCGTACCACATTGGCACAAAGATACAATTGTCGAATCAAATCCCATTGTGGTAGAGATAGTAAAAGTATAAGCAGTATTCGGGAACATTAGGGTTTGAAGATTTTATTCAAGGAGTATAATCCGGTGAAATAAATTTTGAAAGAGATATAAAAGGGACATGAAAAATTCAAAAAATTAGGATTTGGGAGGACACAAGGAGTGAATGCAAACACTTTTGAGCCATGTCATTCAAAGTCTCTAGCTGTCGGTTGCTATCGTTTCGTGGATCCCAACCAGTTAATCTTCACCTACGAACATGGCTCAGTCTACTTGTCAGTGACTTCATGGATTTGTGCCATGTTTTAGTCTGGTCGCCCCTAGCTTTCTTCTAACCTACTCCTACATCTTAAAACATCGCTTGTCGGGGCAGTCGGTGGTTGGACATACGTAAAACGTGTCCCAGCCATCTCAACTGATGAAGTTTCACTACTTCATCAATTGATTTGCCATCCTTACCAAGTACCAGTTTCCTAACAATTGGGAAACTGAAGTATGGCTGTAGTCAGTTGAATCAATCCTTAAAGTGCTCTGCTTTCGTGAATTGAGAATGAATAATATGTCCATCTTTTTCAGAGATAGTTTCGCTAACAGTCGGGTTCTTAATACCGGTTTCCTTGAAAAGTCTGAACAGTTGTGTGCTGTTACCCATTGCATCTGCCTTTTCCATCTCTTTTGCTGTCGCTACCTACCACTGTTCTCCATCATTGCGTAGGCTTGTTATCAGCCTGCGCTCAAGCTGACTCCGCTCTTCGTCATGTTCATAGCCAGATAGGATGAGTTTTCGAGCATCTATCAGTGCGGTAGATACTGTTGAGATCCAGTATTCCTCCCTAACTTTATGGTTTACCTTACTAACAGATATCACTGCTGTTTTCATAGCTTTTCCGATATCGTTCCACGCTGCCTCGGAGTGGGCATCACTTACATGGCTGCCTAACTGTTTTTCTAGTTGTTCGTGGAACATATCCTTAGCTTGGGTATCACTAAGTAGAACACTGAGAGGTTTACTTACAGCGTCTTTCCTACGTCCAGTAAGATTCAGAAAAATACGCGTTCTCACTAGAGCATTATCTGAATCTAGGCGTGTGCTCCAGAACAAGCGACAGTCTGCTATCGAGCCTCTCCATCGGTGGCTGATAGCGATGTGATCTATTTGGGTCCAACGTTGGGACGAATTCGGGGGTCACCATGTAAAAATATGTTTATCCTTATGCTTAAAGTTAATGTTTGCAAGAAACAGGCGGTTATCTGAGCATAGCTGCAACAGACAGAACAATACAAAATAAAAGGATATCATTGTTTAAATATTAATTCAACCACAATTTCATTAAATTTAACGGGCTCAAGCATTAGCTTAAATTGTCTTAAAGAAGTGATTGCAACAATGATCATTATGTGTTACAGATTTCAATACGTGAAGCTTTTAATTAGTCGCCTATTTTTCACTACTGGTTCGCATTTCTAATGATGTGGATGTATATTAATTGATGATGCTGAACCGAGGTCATTTTACAGAATGACTTCAATAAAGTTGTTTTTATGGAGGAGCAGTTTAATAAACGAGTTCCGGACTGTTGAAATGAATAAATATACTGCTGATCGATAAATGAAATCAGTGATAAGAAGTGATCGGGTGACGGCCACTCATATGATCAGATTATAGACTCAAACTCCCGAATGTAAAGATGTTAAAAATAAGACTATTTATTAGTCAGTAGAATAATTGTTTTCGTAAGATGACAGCGTCTTTCCTACGTCCAGTAAGACCCAATCTATGTGACCACCTAGACTGGTGGTCACAGTGCAACTGGGTCGATAGAATTCGTTTGGCACTAAGAAGGACATGGCATACATGACATTGATCACCACCCAGTGATCAATCAATTGCAAATAGGTGTGGGATTGATTTCGTACATAAAATAAACTAATCTGATCGAAATCCCTAGAGCTTAGTCCTAAGATAAGGATATCAAGAGTATTTTTCGTGAATACATGAAAGTAGATTTCTGAAGTAGTTGGAAACTCATCTCAGCAGATTTCAAACGTGATGAAAAAATAAAATCTGAAAGTGGACTGACTAAAAGTTCATGCAATGATGGACAACAAAGGCAAACGGAACGTAAAAGACCCTCCCATCAGGTTATGAGTCAGGTGTTCAGACCCACCGAAGAAACTGGAATTATGAAATAGTTAATGACATTCTCTCAAAGAATGATGGAGTAGTGGTCTATCCTCATCCCAAAAATCTGGAACAATAGTCGTCAATCTAATTCCTCTTCGTAATCAATATCCCACTAATTTCTCTATCTGTTAATCTTATAAGTTATATGTTTAATCGAAATGTGAAGTGTTTTCTGTAACTGTTGGTACTTTAGTTACTAGAATATACTGAAATACAACTGAATGTCTTGCTATGTATTTCTTACGATTAAAATTATTTGTGACTTAATGCCAGGCAGTATTTATACCACTCTTTTGATCGGTGGCTTATCGGTTAGAGCATGTAACTCCCCAGGTTCAAACTCCATTCCATCTACTCCAGTTTTGACTACTGTATAATATCATTAATCCTCACATTTAAAATGTGGCTTATACTCAAGTATATTGTGAGCGAGCTAAGTTATCTTAATCTTTTTGAACAATTAGTCATCACTTTCTCCTAATAATTATCAGCTTCTAGCCTAACAGCTAGATACACTTTTACTTTAGTATTTAAATAATTGTACCAATTTTTTGTTACACTATATATAGTAGAATCTATATTTACTTACGTACATCATATTTATTGCTACTATTCATATTATTAGTAATGGTACTATTGTCATTTACTCAATTTTTATTCTATTTACTCTCCTTTTTCATTATACTCTCTTCCTCTACCTCAGTTTACTTGCTTTGGGTGTATGTTCATCACGTTCATCTACAAATGAATGGCCAGGTAAATTATCGATTCATTGATCTTATTCTCTTTTTTATGTTCAGTTTATTTCCTTTTCAATGTATTGATTTTTACTTTATTTTTGGTTATTGTTTTGATATAATGGTAAGAAAATAAATGTATGAACAGTATCATTATGTCAGAGGAGTTTATTAGTTTACTACAATTGATCAATATGAACGGTGTGGGAATAATAAAACAACAATCAAATAAACGTGCTTTGTTTTCTTTTTTTATTGTAGCAATATTGGTACGACAAATGTCTATTTTTGTACTAAAGTGTATTGTAGCTAAAAAGATTTCTTTATTGAATATAAAACTCTGCCTGTAGCTCTTCTAGAGTTATTGCAGTTCCTAAGCCCGGCTAAAGGAGGAGGGTTGGGCATGGGGTTAGCAGCCCAATCCCGTAGAAAACTAACTCGCTAAAAAACCCTAACCAGAGGAAATAATTCAAACCATTTAAACTCTACCCTGGGAGTTAGAAGGTCTTCATTTAGAATAAATATGACGCCTCATGTTGAAAGCCGAGTTCCTTCGGAAGCCACGAGGCCGATGCCCCTAATAACAACCACAGCAACAATTTTTATAGGTAGATGGAACGTGCGAACAATGTGGGAGACCAGTCAAACAGCAATGGAAATGAGGAGATAAAACTTGGCAGTACTGCGAATCAGCGAAACCCATTGGACCCAAGCTGAACAACAAAGACTAAATACGGGAGAGATGCTGCTATACTCCGGTCACGAAGAGGAAATTGCTCCACACACTCAGGGAGTTGCCCTAATGCTGTTCAAAGTAGCACAAAATGCACTTGTAGGATGGGAATCTCACGGACCCAGAATCATCAAACCATCATTCAAAACAAAGAAGGAGGGTATCACAATGACCTCACCATTCTGATGGGAGATCTAACCGCCAAAGCCGGAATAGAAAACACCGGATATGAAGATATCATGGGACGACATGGATTGACTGGGTCAGAGAAACGGAAATGGGGAAAGATTTGCAAATCTGTGTGCATTCAACAAATTGATCATAGGAGGCACAATACTACCACACAAACGTATACACAAAGCTACATGGATCTCATCGCACCACACCACAGAGAACCAGATAGATCATATTTGCATCAATAAAAAGTTCCGAAGGACAATGAAAGATGTGAGAACCAGGAGAGGAGCTGATGTAGCTTCAGATCATCACCTAGTTGTGGCCAATCTAAAACGGAAGCTAAAGAAGCAGTGGACAACTGGACAAACAGCACTACAGAGGTTCAATACAGCCTTCCTTCAAGATACTGACAAACTCCATGAATTCAAGATAGCTCTCAACAACAGGTTGCAAACTTCACAGGATCTACTGAAGGGAGAAGAAATTTCTATGGAGGACAACTGGAAAGGTATCAAAGAAGCACTAACTTCAACGTGTCCAGAGGTTCAGTTCTGGGCCTGAAGAAGCATCATCATAAGGAATGGATCCGTATAGAAACACTGGACAAGATCAAAGAAATTAAGAACAAGAAGACAGCAATTAACAACAGCCGAACACGAACAAAGAAAGTCCAAACACAAGCTGAGTACATAGAAGCAAACAAGCAAGTGAAGAAGAGCATTACAGTCGACGAGCAGAAATACGTGAAACAACTAGCATCGACGGCGGAAAAAGCTGCAAGAGAAGGAAATATGAAACTGCTTTACGATACAACGAAGAAACTAGTAGGGAAATACAGTAAACCAGAGAGACCGGTCAAAGACAAATAAAACAGGCCAATCACTGAAATTCAGCAACAACGGAACAGATGGGTAGAATACTTCGAGGAACTCCTGAATAGGCCGGCTCCAATGAATCCACCGGACATCGAAGCAGCACACACAGATCTTCCTATAGATGTCAATCCACCAACGACGGAAGAAATCAGAATGGCCGGTCATCAGACAAATCAAGAGCGGGAATGAAGTAGGACCCGACAACATACCAGCAGAAGCACTGAAGTCAGACATCGAAGTAACTACAAACATGCTTCACCTTCTATTGAAAAAGATTTGGGAGGAGGAACAAGTGACGACGGACTGGAAAGAAGGACACCTCATCAAAATTGTAAAGAAAGGAGATGTGAGCAAATGTGAAAACTACAGAGGCATTACACTACTGTCAATACCAGGGAAAGTCTTTAACAGAGTGTTGCTGAACCGGATGAAGGATGCAGTAGATGCCCAACTTCGAGATCAACAAGCTGGATTCCGTAAGGATCGGTCGTGCACAGACCAAATTGCAACACTACAGATTATCGTCGAACAATCAGTTGAGTGGAACTCATCACTATACATCAACTTCATTGATTATGAAAAGGCATTCGATAGTGTAGATAGGAGGACGCTATGGAAACTTCTTTGATAATACGGAGTTCCTGAGAAGATTGTCAATATTATCCGGAACTCATACGACGGACTACAGTGCAAAGTAGTGCATGGAGGACAGCTGATAGACGCATCCCAAGTAAGGACCGGAGTCAGACAAGGCTGTCTACCCTCTCCTTTCCTCTTTCTTCTGGTTGTCGACTGGATTATGAAGACCTCGACATCTGAGGGAAAACACGGAATACAATGGACAGTTCAAAACCAATTAGACTATTTGGACTTCGCATATGACCTAGCCCGCCTATCGCATACACACGAACAAATGCAGATAAAGACAGCCAATGTAACAGCAGTCTCTACATCAGTAGGCCTCAACATACACAAGGGGAAAATCAAGGTCCTCAAATTCAAAACGCAGAACAGCGATCCAATCACTCTTGGTGGCGAAACTCTGGAAGATGTAGAATCCTTCACATACCTCGGAAGCATAATCGATGAACAAGGAGGTTCAGATGCAGACGTAAAGGCGAGGATCGGCAAAGCAAGGGTCACTTTCCTTCAATTGAAGAGCATATGGAACCAAAAATAACTGTCAACCCATATCAAACGCAGAGTCATTATTACAGACGTTTAGACAGTTCTACTGTACGGAGCTGGAACTTGGAGAACTACTACAACCATCATCAAGATGGTGCAAGTATTTATAGATGGTTGTCTACGCAAGTTACTCAACATCCATTGGTCGGATACCATCAGTAACAGCCTTCTGTGAGGGAGAACAATCCAGCTGACGACGAAATTAGGAAAAGACGATGGAAATGGATAGGACATATATTACGCAAATTACCAAACTGCATCACGAGGTAAGCCCTAATTTGGAATCCTGAAGGGAAGCGGAAAAGAGGAAGGCCAAAGAACACATTACGTCGGGAAATAGAAGCAGATATGGAAAGGATGAATAACAATTGGAAGTAGTTGGAAAGGATTGCCCAGGATAGGGTTGGATGGAGAATGCTAGTGAGCGGCCTATGCTCCTTCACGAGAAGTAACATGCTTAAGTAAGTAAGTATTGAATATAATATTTATTGCTTTATAGTGGGAAGAAAAGCTGAATGATGTATCTAGCCTTGTATAACAATAGCAAGAGATAGAGGGAGAGGGAAGAGTATAACAATAAATAATGTGTTGTGGATTATTGATTAATGAAACAATTGTTTAACCGTTTCTAAAAGTTTTATGTTAAAGCGGAAGTGTAACTATTGTGTTTTTGTTTGTCGAGATTATGTATACATTCTTTGTTATAATAGCAATAATTCATCGATGATGTGATTAGCTTAACTCTGAGTCATTTAAACTATGTACAGTTGTAGAATAATCTTGTTGCTTGGACTATAGTCGTTCCCTTTTTAATACTCGAACTGTAGACTAATGGAAATCAAAGCTTATTCGTTATTGGCTAAAATTTACTGATATTTTGGTTTTCCAAATAAACATTTTGGTTAATGGGTGGACAAACAACTTATCATCAGCCTGGTACCATCCAGCTTAAAGGTGACCTTTAATATTGGTCTATTTCATATTCTAAATTGTCAGCTACTAGGTATAATACCATCGGATCTTAGCTAAATACATTGAGGAGTCTTCTGACTTTGGCTCTATAGTGAACACGGAAGATATTTTACTCGGTTTAATAGTAAACGTACTTGGAGAATTCTCTCCCAGGTGACAGATTGATGATGAATTCTCTGTACGTCACTAAAATCGTTAACATTAGTATTTGTTATCCAAAAGACATTTTTAGTGTCTTCGGTAAACGTGTCTATTGTCCGATTAACTTCAAAGTGCAAATGCTGAAGGTAGGAAGTTTAATTGGCACGTACGCTTTCAGAATAGATGTACGAGATTCTACACTGAGTGACAGCTCTTTGAAAACAACCACTTATCGATATAAAACTTTATGGTATAATCGAATTTTCAACAGAAACTACGACTTTTTGGGGTATGAATAAACAAAGTGGGAATAAAATAACCCAGAGATGATTTCGTTCTTATTCATTATACTTGTATTCGTGAAAAAAATGTTTATCAAACCAGTTAATTATGTTTTGTTTACTGAATTATCATGATTTGCTTGATGCCACTGGCATGCTCAAAATATAAAGGATAACTTCTATAGGAGATCAACTTCCAAGTCTTCATGTAGGATCTGGTATCGACATTATGTTTATCCTTTGTTTAGTCCCTTGAAGTCCCGGATATAAACCCTCTCTATTCATTGATACGTCTGAGGAACCAGATGTCTGCTTTCAGCTTTGTGAGGATACCATTACCACTTGTCTAAACAATTAGTACTAATTCCTTAGGATATAATATCAGCACATTTCTCTATACAAGTATTTTTTTTTAGCGAAAATAGGCTCTTCTTTATCAACTATGCTATGGTATATTGAATTGGTTAATATTGTGTGGACATGGTTTTTATTAATTATGTGTTTATTTTCACTATACATAAGCAGAATATTGTGTATACAATTGCCTGTTCAAGTTGTGGTGGTCAATGTCATATTTATCCTTAATCCTTTAGTTTTAATCCAATTATGTCGATCAATTTGCAATATGGCTCCTAGCATAAGTGACTTGATATCGCGTTCACTATGTTTCAGTGTTAGGTGGCTGGAGCTAGGTAGTCAGCATGACACCCTAGTCCTGTATTTCGTGCTAGCTTCCAATCGTATACAAGGAGTACCTATAATCTTATTGAAGCTGATGCTCACTGTGGTATTCTAACACATGTCCCTCACCTTCATAATCTGAAAGATGCTGTGTAAATATATTTTAGTTAATCTTTATTCATTAACAAAGGGGAAATAAAATAGCTTTGTATCTGTTTTTCTTCCTGTTCTCTTTTTCGATTCTACTAATTCAATATTAAATAAACAATAATAATAATTACAGGGATGGAATTTACATCGTATGGTTACCACAGTAATAGCGGAACAATTTATCATAATTCCAAAGAACTACCCATTTCTGCGCCTAGTTTTGGTGAATCGGATATAATTGGTTGCGGTGTGAATTTTGTTAATAATTCTGTTTTTTTCACAAAAAATGGTGTATTTGTTGGACCAATAAGTGCTGGTAAAAAGTTGGTGAGTTTTATGTTTTATAAAAAATGAATTTTTGGAGGATAATGGTTTCTTATTTATGAGATCAAGTTTACGAATTTCTCAGTGTAAATAATATCTGTTATTTAGTGTATAATTATTATAGTCCAATAAGCATTCCATGAATGACATTGGTGTGCCCTCATCTTAATTATTAAATCATTCACCTCTTCTCTCCTCTACTTTATTCTTCCGATCTTTATTACAGAAACAAATTTTCGAGCAGTGGAACCTCTCCAGTAAATTTCTAACAAACCACCTATTTGAATTTAAGTGATTTTATATTCATTAATAAGCGTCAAATCATGATGTTCTATTTCTTGTGTTAGTCTGTGTATTAATTTGATCTTTTTAATGTAACAACATAGTAGAATATTAACATTTATGGCTCATATTTAATTGTTTTAGTTAATCAACTAAATATTGCTATGATTCTTAATCTCAAATACAATACGCTTAATTCAATGTAAACCATTTTAAGTGTCTATAAATGAGACGTTACTTTATAAGTTTGTGAGTGAATCTATGTGCACTCAACGTGTTTCTTCGAAACAATAATAACTAATCTTCCACGCTGAAAGATACATAAACAGTATCTTCCTCTAAGTCTTACACATATTAGTATTGTAATGTCTATTAACCTCATGGTTTTTTGGGTGTCATTACCAAAGTCTGACTTGATAATTTCAAACAAATTGAGCATTGAGTAGATTGCTATTAATAAAGATAATGTATTTGTAATATTCCAATGAGTAAAAAAATTAACTTTTTAAATATTCTGACGTTTCGTAACTTATTGTAAGTCACTTCTTCAGAGAATAAGTCAACAAACAAAATTAAATCAAGTTTAAATAGTATAAAAGAAGAAAGTAAGAATATTTGGTGCTATCAACCAAAAACAGGTCTGACCAAGTCAATGTCATATCATTTCGGCTCAAGTGACTTATTTCAGGCATCGTTTTTGTTCATCTTAATTAGGGTCGTTCCATCATTATTAGTTTCTTTTTTTAAGCCGCTAAAAATAAAAAATCTTGATCTTAAAAATTCTCATTGATTATTTTACGTGGTCATTGTTGCGAGTCCCCTAAATTATATCGATAAAATTTCTAGAAGCCCAGAAAAGGCTTAAAACGCTTCTTCCAGTTAACACCAAACAGACATATCTATAAGTTACTGCTAATTTGTTGCATCCTAATTAGACAATTACTTATTTTGTCGTATTTCAGAAGCTTCTAGACAGTTACGACTACTTGCAAACCAATAAATAAACTTGTTTTCTGTGCATAAATTAACCTTGAATTAAGGCTTCTATTCTTACTTCACATCTTTTCTTTACCATTTGGTTTAAGTTTAGTAGTAGTGTGGGAGTATAGGAAGTGGCTATGAAGTTAATAGCAAGTGTTCGATTAGTAGAGATATCAGTTATTACTTATCTTAAAACCGAAGATCAATTAACATCTGTTCTTCTTAGTGTAGGAACTTTTCAGTAGTGCATATCAGAGATCCCATAGATGATCAAACTTAACATTTTCATAAAACAACATAACTTAGTGATAATCCTGGGCTCATTAGTGACTAGCGGATTTTTCAAGGAGCTGTGTTCTATGGAATATAACAATTTAAAATTTACATACCAGTGAGATTGAATGGTGGTCGGGATATAACCCAGTTTGACTGAAATAAGATACTTTAGGCCATACTATACTAACTGGTGGTCTTTTTCTGGATCCTGCGTTGAGATCACAGATGCCAGTGATTCTGGTTCATGTTGACTTCGCTTGAGATTTGAATTTGGGTCTCGAAAGCCGATCATTCATGTAGCCATCTTAGTCATTTCATCAGTTTTATCAGACAGTCACACCGTAATAGCATACTTGTTCGAGAATAATATTCTATGGTAAGTTAAGAAGCAACGATTTCACTGTCATGTTGTTAATATTTCAAGTTGATTACATCACTCTTTGTGTATACTGACGTGTAATATTTCTCTCATAGTGAATTATTACACCTGTTACTTTTATCTCTAGTGATAGATGTTAATTCCTATTATTATGGCTACAGTTCTCTGAGAATCATTTATGCTTTCTAGTAGGCTTTACCTGGATAAAATTTGGTTTTATTTTATATATTACAGTTTTGCTAGTCGAACAGCTAACGTTCACCCAGTGATATGTAGTAGTAGTTATACATTATTACGGTTTATTATCTTGCTAATCAACAGTAATCAGGCAAACAACACCGGTTCTGATCGTTTCAGTTGTGAGGTGTGGTGCAGCTTTATGCCCCGTTGGATGATACATATATAGTTTTTTTTAGCTAAGTAGAAACAAAATATTTAGTGTTTGTTTCATCATGGTCTACCTAATATCGATTGTTTTTATGAACCATTCCGATATCGTGTGAATTGTGCGTAAAACTCAAATTTCTACAAACATAGTTTTAAGCTAATTAGCTATCGAGAAGCCCCAGTAAACAACTTAAGCAATAGTTTAGTCGCTTCTCTCCATTATAAATTTAAATTTATGATCTATAGAAACCTTGGTATCTAGTTATATAAGAAGGAAATTATTGTCTTTCATACATAATATGGCTTATCATACTTATTGGTGCCCCGTGACTTGTTGGTTAAAATGTTCGACTTCGAAAAATTGAGTCGTGAGTTTGAGCCTCACTCCATGTACTTCGGTTTAGGGGGACACAATATCATTTTTAGCTCAAAGCAGAGTACACGAATATTTAGGTTGTTAGTCAATATATCAACATGATCATCAGTACGCTTATCTGTAATATTCAACAAAATTACGAAAATGGTAATTTGCACACAGAACCAGCCTCATAATTCCAACGGACTATAGTTCCAAAGTCACTTAGTTGGATATATTATTAAGACATTAAAGATTATATGTACTCAACCAATTTATCTGGAAAAATATCACCTAACTGATGAAATGAACGTCAATTTGAAAAAATGTTGGTCCTTTAACTCTCTTCACATATGAATATATACATGTGTACATATATATTAAAAAGATGGTTAAATATGAATCTTTTTGAATCACACCTTATTGTTTTAATCTTACCTCCGATACATCACATTTCTTTCTGTATTCAGCCACATCCAGTCTATCCTTGTATTGCTTTCGCCTGTCCCAATTGCCATGTGAGCGTCAATTTCGGTCATCACAAATTTGCATACAATATTGGTCAGTATATTGCTCGTGAACGTGCTGTAGCAATAAGTACAGCAGTCGATCGTAAATGTAATGATCAGTTAGCTTATGTGACAATGAGAAAGTGAGTGTTGGTTTATTCATGCTCGTTATATATATATATTCCTACTTCAATGTATGTCATAAGTATTCTATTCTTTTGACCTACTTTTTCAAAACTTATCAAACATTAAAATAAATTCGTTTCGAGTGTTTTAGTGACGTTGGATGTTAGAATTTTATGTTTGTATTATTTTATTGATTTTAGGCGGGGAGATAGCGAGCAGTTTGGTTTTATTGAAATAGGTGTTTAGATAAGTGAAGACCATTTGTCTTTTTGATGCTACTTCATGATAAGAAAAGAAATCTTTAGAGGAAATATTTTAATCGTATCACTTTCCAGTCAGCTGGTGCCTAAAAGTATTTTGTTCTTTTGCCAGTTTATATCACGTACTAATCTCGTACAATCACAACCGCATCGGGGATGAACCCAAGATATTCAGGTTTCACAGCAAGCGCTTAACCTTTAGATCACTGAGTTGGTGTCCGAGTTTTTACATTTTTGATTTCAAGCCATACATGATATTGTGCCAATCATCATCAGATCATACTGATAGGTAGTTATTTCACTGCCGATATAGTTAAACTCCAATGACCATGAGTTCCCACTAAAACTGCGAGGATTGCCTCTAATAATTTCCACAAAACAGACCTTTTTTAATAAATTTGTTTATTTTCAATGTAGTACCTAGTTTGAATATGTATTGCTTCAGACTGCCACACCTCATATCAGCACGACAAGAGTTTGAAGTCAGTAAGTTATGAAGTTGGAGATAAGAATTGAAGACATGAAAAGTACAGCTAAAGATTAACAAGGTACTATCGAGGTATAAGATACCACCAATGATATTTCACTTTTGACTTTGAAAGATACAGAATGCTTGGGATTGTTTCACGTCAACTATATGAAACACTTTACTACTGCTACTCCCCCAAGTTTACTCAACAGAACCATTGCACCCTCAGATAATAAATTTGCTACTTTTGGTCTTATTCCTATTAACGTGACCTACTGAATATTGCATGATACTTTTATGGGATAGTGAACCATTAGGAACTAGGAAGCTTTACATAAGTGCTTTGTTCTAGCAGCGGTTTTTACTCTGAACTTTGCACGAAGTTAGACTTGAGATTTAATGGCCACGATCACTTTAATTTGTTATATCACTCACTACAATCCAGTGGTTCTTGTTAGACAACTAATGTGTGGAATTAGCACTAAATTTTATATTCAGGTCGTAATTTCATTTACAATAGAGTAGTCTACGAGATTCCTATCTTATAATCCCTGATCTTTGAGTCAATCATATTTATTCTTTTATTTAATAATTAGCATCTAAGCATGTCATCTTACGAAAACAATTATTCTACTGACTAATAAATAGTCTTATTTTTAACATCTTTACATTCGGGAGTTTGAGTCTATAATCTGATCATATGAGTGGCCGTCACCCGATCACTTCTTATCACTGATTTCATTTATCGATCAGCAGTATATTTATTCATTTCAACAGTCCGGAACTCGTTTATTAAACTGCTCCTCCATAAAAACAACTTTATTGAAGTCATTCTGTAAAATGACCTCGGTTCAGCATCATCAATTAATATACATCCACATCATTAGAAATGTGAACCAGTAGTGAAAAATAGGCGACTAATTAAAAGCTTCACGTATTGAAATCTGTAACACATAATGATCATTGTTGCAATCACTTCTTTAAGACAATTTAAGCTAATGCTTGAGCCCGTTAAATTTAATGAAATTGTGGTTGAATTAATATTTAAACAATGATATCCTTTTATTTTGTATTGCTTACAAATGACGTGTTAATATTATTTGCTTTAAATCGACGTTGAACTGTGTGATCATCCTATGGTGTTTAATTAATCTCGAGACTTGTTAAGCATAACGATTTCTTAGATTTTATTGTGCATACTTCACACCGTTACATGGTAAAATAAATGCAGTAACTGAGACGATATTTTATTTATTTTTTTGTCTACTCTTTCTGAGATACACATGTACCTCATACTTGTGTTAATGATAGACTGCTAATATGAAAAATTATTTAATCTGCTAAGTGTCTTCGATTTCAAAGTTCACTTTATTGATGTGACTGAGTGCATTATTACGATAATAGAAATAGATTTGAACTGACATGAACTCATGACAAATGCATTCGCTAAATCCAATACTTTATGTTTCAAAAGACAAAATTGAGTTTGTATTTACAAATAATTATTCTTCAAACATGCCACTTCGCAACAAACCTTTTTTTCAAAACCTATTTTATTTTTTCATTTGAACACATAAATATTGGTACAAAGGCGTATCAAATACCTATGCGCCACACAATAATAATGAGAATGGGAAGAGATAAAGAATGTAAGGTGCGTGTAAAAAGAAAAAGAAAAACAAAAGCGACCACAAATCAGTGTATGGTAGTGAAATAATAATAATAATAATAATAATAATAATAATAATAATAATAGGGTAAACAGAAATGTACGACCAGAAAAAAATTCTTTCAGTTAAAGAAGTTACGGTCACTTTTTATGAAGGAAGTAAAAGAAGATTACAGCAGGATCTCCAAGGTCGAGAAGTCTTTCTCCAGGCAACAGATTCACACTACCATTGCTTACATCCATCAGAGCTGTTCCCGGAATGTCATCGATGGCAAAGTTGAAGAGGAATGGTGAGATTTGGTAAGCCTGTCTAGCCCCACCGCTTGAATGGAACAGTAGAGAGAGGTGGTTGTATGCCCTCACTCTACCTGAGGTGTTTGTATATAGGGATTTCATGACGTTGCTCGGATTCTCAGACACACCCTTCTTCAATAAACAATCCCAGAGAGCAGTGCTGTCCAACGAATCGAAGGCAGCCCTGATGTCAAGAAACACTATGATTGTTTGTTTGTGATAAGTATGGCGGTGTTCTAACATTTGGCGGAGGGTGAAGATATGATCAATACATCCTCGGCCAGAACGAAAACCAGCCTGCTTCTCGCGAATCAATCTTTCTCTGGTTTTGAACAACCTACGAGGTATGACAGAAGCCAATAGTTTGGACCAAATCGGAAGTAGACTTATCCCCCGATAGTTGTTACAGGAACGACCTGAACCCTTTATAAAGATAGAGAAAACTTTCGACTCATTCCATGATCTTGGAACATGCTCTAACTCCAAAACCTTTGTAAACAACGTCGTCAGTTCCTGAACCTGAAGGTCTCCATCATCTTTAAAAAGGGCCAGAGTTTATCTGAACCCTATGATTCGTAGAGCTTCAAAAGTTGGAGTTCCTCGTGGACTTCTGCATCATTTGGTGGATCAGTCGTCACCGGCCATGGAGAGTAGGACAGTCTGGTCGATGTTGTCGGGGCAGTAGACCACTGCTCCTCGACAAACTCCGCCCATCGTCCACGACGTCGTTTGATGTTAGTGATTGGGATCCCGTCATCTTCACAGATTGTTTCGCTCACACTAGACTTTTGCTGCTAGCGGCCCGGATGAGTTGGAAGAGCTTCCGGTAGTTACTAGATGTAGCTGCTGCTTCCAGATCATTAGCACACACCGACCACCAAACATTTCGGTCCTTACGCAAGCTTTGCCCAATTTCATTACGTAACAGTCTTCGTTTGTGGTCAAACTCACGGTCACCTGGAGTAGACCGATGGGCTTCGATGTGTTGTAAGGAGCCAGAAGAAACCAATTGCTTATAAGCTGGACGTTTCGCGAAGCCGCATTCGACTTTACTCGCCATTTTCATGGCGTCGCGCAATTGCAGCCAATGCTCATCCATACTTTTCGGTGGGATGTTAGCTAGCCTAGAACCTAGCTCGGTTTGATATTTAGTTGTAACAGAAGCTGCAACCAATTTACTGACATCAATCCGTTCAGGACGATGAATTTGTTGGCCACTGAAAAGTAAGGTAAGATTGGCGCAAACAAGGGCATGATCAGAGTTCAGATAGTTACTCCCCAAAAGGAGCTGCAGTCTTATACGCAACCACGCCAGCGGTAGCTGATTGTGATGTGATCAGTCTGAGTCCAGGTTTGAGATGTAGAAGGAGGATGCCAGGTGGCACATCGGCGACGACTGTGCCGGCAGTTAGTGCTAGCCAGAAACAAGTTGTGGTCTGTGCACAGTTGCAGTAGGCCGTCCGCATTATCTGACCTGCGACCAACAAGTCCCCATTGACCTCCTAAACGACTCTCTTCTGTGTCTAGACGCCTGACCTGAGCCTTCAGATCTCCGGTTAGTACTACATTATCTGTCGAATGCAAATTCTGTAGAAGAACTGTTATTTGGTGTTAAAACTCATCCTTGATTGCATCCGGGCTGCAATCTGTCGGGGCATAGGCGGAGATGACGAGAAGACATCGTTTCTCACACTGATTTCTTCTTGTTTTGATGGAACTTCCTAATAGAACAGCACATAACCGACTGTTAATGGGGGCCCAGTCGATTAGTGCTGCTTTGGCTCTAGCGCTTAGTGCGACACCAGTGCCAGTAAAATCGGACGAAGATGCCACAGGTTCCCCGGATAAACGCACGTGAAACAAGCTTTCACTGGTGTCTTGAATACCTATCCTGGATAGGCAACAAACACCGATATTAAGACTTTCTAAAGACATAGCCAACTCTATCTGTTATCCGATCTGCATTAGTGTGCAAACATGCCCCCAAATGCCCTGGTACGAACGAGAGTGGGTAGAGACTGCTCTCCCTCTCAAAATGCTCTCACACGGACACGCGTATATAGCCTGTGCCATAGAAGTCCTACTCACTGCCTTCTCGTAGCTGGGGTATTGTTTACGAAATTAAGAAAACGAAAAGCGAATGTCCGGCGCCTTAACCGGGTTGGTGGACACGAAGAGTCCACCTAGAAGAGTTGGAAAATCCTGATTCCAAACCAATGGTGCACATGGGCTCCAGGATGCTGAGGGAATAAATGGCATATGAACCTACTGTTGGTCACCGGCTACCATGGGACTGCATCTCCTTACGATGCTCCACTGCCTTGT